TGAGCCGCCTTTTCCAACTGAGAAGGAAAACAGCACAGAGCAGCAGCCGCCAAGCCGTGGTCCGGCCACTGGTGGCCGCCAAGCCGTGGTCCGGCCACTGGTGGTCCCTGAGGCCCGAAGGGCTGGCGACCGCTGCTCGGGAGGGTGGGCCACAGTGCCCCACGAATCCCCACGGTAGCTAAGCCTTTGCTGTCATACTTTCTTTTTTTAAATTGAGGTAAAATTCACGTAACGTGAAAATAGCCATCCAAAGTGGTCAGGTCAGTAGGATTTAGTGTACTCACAGTGCTGTGGCAAGCACCACCCTCAAAGCTTTCCGACAACCCCCTGCAGAACACCCCCCCATCACTACCCACCCCAAGCCCCTGACAAACACATAGTCGTTCTGTCTCTAGAGATTTGCCTATTCTGGATATTTCATATAAAAGCAATCATACAACCCTGGCCAGTTTAGCTCAGTGGATAGAGCGTCAGCCCACAGACCGGAGGGTCCCAGGTTTGATTTTGGACAAGAGCATTTGCCTCGGTCGCAGGCTCAATCCCTCTCCCATCGGTGGTTTTTTCTCTGCATCACTCCCTTCCACTCTCCCGAAGTCAATGGGAAAGTACCCTTGGGTGAGGATTACAACAACAAGGAATCATACAGCCCGGTCAGGGGGCTCCGCTGGTTGAAACATCGTCCTGTACACCAAAACGTACGGGTTCGATTCCCAGTCAGGGCACGTACCTAAGATGCAAGTTCGGTTCTGGGTCAAGGCGTGTACAAGAGGCAATGGATGGATGCTTCTCTCCCTCCCCTCCTCTTTCTCTAAAACCAATAAAAAATAAATCCTCGGGTAATGATTAAAAAAGGAATCATACAAAATGTGAACTTTTCTTCACTTAGCGTGTTTTTGAGGTTCATTCACATGTAGCAGGTATCAGTGCTTCCTTCCTTTTTATGGCTGAGTAATACTCCATTGTGTGCATATATCATGATTTGTTTATCCAGTCACCTGTTGATGGGCTTTTGAGTTGGTTCCACCTTTTGGATATTATGAATAGTGAATGCTGCTATAGTCATGCTTGAACATGTAATTAAGGCCTTGTTTTCAATTCTTTGGGGTACATACTTAGGAGTAAAATTGCTGGGTCACATGGTAATTCTGTTTGTTTGGGTTTTTGTGTGTGTGTGTATAAAGCTTTTATATTTTATTTTTTTTTAATTTTTTTTTATTATTATTAAGGTATTACAAAATGTAACAGAGATTCATTTTTTCCCTCCCCCTTCCCCTCCCTGAAATCAATAAAAATATATTTTAAAAAAATTACACCCATCCTAGTGGATGTAAAGTGGTCGGTGATTTTGTGTGTGTGCATGTTTTCATTCAATAAACATTTTTAAAAGTAATTTATTAATTTGAGAGAGACAGAAACACCGATTTATTGTTCCACTTATTTTTTTTAATATATTTTATTGATTCTTTTACAGAGAGAAAGGGAGAAGGACAGAGAGTCAGAAACATCGATGAGAGAGAAACATCGATCAGCTGCCTCCTGCATACCCTGTACTGGGGACGTGCCCACAACCAAGGTACATGCCCCCAACTGGAATCGAACCTGGGACCCTTCAGTCTGCAGGCCGATGCTCTATCCACTGAGCCAAACCAGTCAGGGCTGTTCCACTTATTTATGCATTCACTGATTGATTCTTGTATGTGCCCTGACCGGGGATTAAGCCCGCAACCTGGACATGTGCCCTGACCGGGAATTGAACCAGGACCTCCCGGTTCATAGGTCAATGCTCAACCCCTGAGCCACACCGGCCAGGCTGGAAAACTGTTGGGCATGACTTTCTAAAGCAGGACTCTTACCTAGACTCAGGCAACTCTCATAGGGCACAGACTAGCAGAAATGAATCACTGCAGCTTTGTCCACAGCCGCCAGCCTGGGCACAGCCCAGACCCTGTAGGCACCTGTCAGGCTAAAGAGCCAGGGCAGGGCCCCGTGCCCTCCTCTGTGGCCAGAAAGCCGTGAGGTCGCTAGCTGGCAGCGGAGAGAGTGGAGCACAGACTTCAGTGCACAAGGAACCCATATTTTGCAAAAACAGTTTGAAAAAGTCACAAGCGGAGGACAGCTTCGGCCCTCAAGAAGCAAAATTTAGCAGTCCCAGGGTGTGGGAGAACTCAATTTCCAGAGTTACCCTAACATACTACTCAGAATATCCGGCCGCAACAAAACATTGCAAAGCATACGAGTAAACAGGAGAGGGTGACCACTCACAGAAAGAGGAGACCTTCACAGAACGTCGCTGGTGAGTTTTGGAGCTGAGAAGTACAATGACAAACGGAAGATTCACTATCACTAGAGCCACAAAAGTCCACTGCTTTCTTACATATCAGCAGTGAGCAACTGCAATTGAAGATATTATCATTTATTAGTACCAAGAAAAAGGAGGGGGAAAGAGAAATATTTAAGTATAAATCTAACAAAATATGTACAAGATCTATGTGAGAAAAACATCAAAACTGATGAAAGAAATTTTAAAAGTTCTACATAAATGGAGATATATTCCAGGTACATGGATAGGTAGACACAATATTGTCGAGATGTCAGTTCTGCCTGGCCGGTGTGGCTCAGTTGGTTGAGTGTTGTCCCAGGCACCAAAAGGTTGCCAATTCAATTCCTGGTCAGGGCACATGCCCTGGTTGCAGGCTCGATCCCCAGCAGGGGGTGTGCAGGAGGCAGCCGATCAATGCTTCTCTCTCATCATTGATGTTTCTATCTCTCCCTCTCCCTTCCTCTCTGAAATCAATAAAATATATTTTTAAAAAATTTTCCAAAGTACAAAAGTCTACTCCTAGACACAGGAAGAAAAGATTCTTGTTTATTTTCAACATAGAAATCTCGCCCCTCCTCTGCCCACCACCACCCTTTGTTGCCCCTCTGCTTGGCCAGGCCACGCCTAGCAGGACGCCAGGCAGGCAGAAGCTTGGGCGGCGACGCTGCCTGTGCAGCCTGGAGCACTTGGCCCATACAGTCAGCAAATGGCCCTGGTCTGGAGGCTCCGAGGGAGCTCAGCAGCTGGTCGTGGCCATACATGGAGGCCTGCAACACGGAGCAAGCCTGCTGGCAGGAACAGTGAGCTGACCACAGCTCCCCCGACCCCGCCAGGCCCAGCATGGGGGGTGAGGCCGGCCGCGTGCTGGGAAAGCACATCCTCTGGGCCTCACCAGCCCTAGCTTCTTGTCCGCCATTGCCCTGAGGCTGGTCCTGGGAGAGGGCCGGCCCTACCCCCGGCTGAGCCAGTCCTCGGCTGTAAGTCGGAGGCCGCTGGTCGGCCTCCCTGTTCTTGCTACCACAGGAAGGTGTCCAGCTTGGCCTGGGAGGGAGGGAGCGCTGGCCTGGCCCCCACCTTCTGCTTAGCTTTGGCCTTGGGCTTCACCGGCAGGGGGCGGATCATAGTTGTGTCGGTCTGAAGGAGATGTCAAGGCAAAGGCTGAAGGGGCCTGGAACGCAGGCAGGAGAGGCTGAGACTCGGGGTGGGCGGCCCGCTCTACTCAGTGAGGTCTGGCTCTGCACACGTAGGGCCGCAGCCCTGGCAGGCTGGGGTTTGGGGTACAGGTGAGGGAGGGTGTGGGCTCCAGAGCTCAGCTCAGCCAAGGCCACAGAACAAGGATACAGGCTGGATGAACTTGGTCCGGCCCCCTAGGCCGTCGAAGCCTGTTCTGACCTGAAGTGAAAGGGAGAGATGAGCGACAGGCTGTGGGTGGGCCGTGGGCCGGCCCTGCCCCCACGGGAGGCACACTCACTGCGTCCGTGCTGCGGCGGGGTTCCGCCCTGGCTCTCTTGGCTGGCTTCTGGCCCAGGACAGCGTTCCGGATGAAGGATGAACTTGGTCCGGCCCCCTAGGCCGTCGAAGCCTGTTCTGACCTGAAGTGAAAGGGAGAGATGAGCGACAGGCTGTGGGTGGGCCGTGGGCCGGCCCTGCCCCCACGGGAGGCACACTCACTGCGTCCGTGCTGCGGCGGGGTTCCGCCCTGGCTCTCTTGGCTGGCTTCTGGCCCAGGACAGCGTTCCGGATGAAGAGCGCGCCACCTCCTGTGCCTCTCCGGGGAGCAGAGAGGATAATGGGCAGGTTTCAGGGGACCCCGCAGGGCCCCAGTCCTGGGCCAGGACTGATGGGGCAGCTTCCCAGAGTCCAGCTTCACTCTGTCCTGGCTGGGAACCTAGGGACTCAGATGCTGGTGACTGAGCTTCTGGGAGCCTTACCTGCTTGGAGCCTTTGGGCAGCTTCCTGGGACCGTCCTGAGTGGGAGAGCTGAGACACGAAGGCAAGAGGCAGGTGAGCAGACACAGGACATGCCCCCTGCGGAGCCACCGTGTGGCATGGTGTGTTGTGCTGGGTGCTGGGCAAGGCACCTCAGTGATCCTCACGTCAAGGCCAGCCCTGTGACCAGCCGGACAGTCACAACGGCCAGAGTGGGGAGGCAGGGAAGGTTGGACCACGTGCCAACCTGGTGGCTCCCACTCAGGGATAAGCTAACCCCAAGCTCTAGGCACCTTTCCATGTCCCAGGAGAGCCCAACCGACTCATACCCACAGGAGGGAAAGCCCTGACACAGGCAGACACACCAATGAGCTCAGGCCTCCCTGTCTGCCCAAGAGGGGCCACCACCCACGAGACCCTCAGTGAGTTCAACAGCCCCTAGAGCAGGGCTAGGCCACCTCCCTGGCCAGGCCAGGCCAGGCCACCCCTGCCCAGCTCCTGAGCTGGACACCACGTTTCCATCCAACTCCTGGGGACTCCCCAGGAGACGGGGGGATGGTGACCTATGGTTGAGAATAACAAAGAACAGCCCTGGGCCCCCTCCCTGGGCAGCGCATACTTCCATGCCAGTCTCCATGATGAACTGCACGTGGCCTGCATGGCCAGGGAGACAGCCTCCCACTGCCAGTGCCACTGCATCCCTGGCGCAGGTCCCACCCACCCACTGCAGCTCTGCACAGCTTCCCACACCTGCCGCTACGGACTGCCCCCCAGGTGGGGTGGGGGCCTGGGCTCCATGGTTTCAGATGGCCCTGCCCCCAGCACGAGTCTGAGACGTGCCCGAAGGAAGAGGAGGTGGAGAGGTCCTGCTCAGGACTCCGGAGGGCAGGCATGCCACACCATCAGCCCATCCTGTCCCCACGGGACCTCTGCATCCTCTCCACCCCCCTCCCCTGCCCCCTTGCTTAAAGGGTGATGGTGACGATGAATTAGACAAGCAAGACAAAGGCTGTGCAGTCTGTGCTCAGGGAGGAAGGAGGTGCTGGAACCAACGCCAGTCCAGCCCAGGGGACCATCGCTGCCCCGCAGCCCCGCAGAGCTGCCAGGCGGGGCCTGCAGGGACCGTAGCCCTCCCCTCCCGGCGGTGGGCAGGGCCAGGGGATGCCACTTACTGTGCCTTCTCCAGGCAGAGCTTCTTGGCATGGCCATGCTGAAGGCCAGGGGGCCGGGCTGGGGGCGTGTCCACATCAAAGGTGGCATTGAGGTCAATGTCATCACTGAAGGCCGGCCGGCGCAGCTTCAGGCTCAGCATCTCAACAGGGGCCGGGCTAGGGCACAGATAGCGGTGGCCAGGGTCACAGTGGCGCCCAGGACAGCAGCCCGAGGGCTCCGGAGATGGGTCCTCTCCAGGGGCCTGCAGCCCGCCCCGCTCCGTGCCACCTGCGAGGAAGCCCTGATCTCCACCGGAGAGCCCACTCGGCGCAGTCCTCCAGTCCTGGACCAGTGACAGGTGGGCGACAGGGAAGGGGCAAGCAAAACCCACACGCAACCCAAGTGTGCAAGGGCTACTGCCGTTTGAGCAAGCGGCCTCGTTTCTCAGGTGGCAGTGCAAGGAGCCGGAAACGTGGCCACAGACCGGCTGCCCCCGCGGTGCGGCCGTGGCAGACGGCACCTTAGAAACAGGATGACTCCCTCCGGGGCTGGCACGTTCCTCGCTTGAATATGACAGACATTAAAGGGGGGTGTTCAGACAGTGAACTTAATAACAGGAGCAATGCTCATATGTGACATTTAAAAAGCAATACAAACCCAGACAAATCAGACTTCACGAGAATTAAAATTTTGTGCATCAAAACGTATTATTACAGAGTAAAAGGGCGACCAGAGAATGAGAGAAAATATTTGCAGATCATATCTCTGTAAGGGATTAAAATCTATAGAGAACGAGAACTCAACAAGGAGAAAACAAACAACCCGATTCAAAAATGGGTAAAGGTCTTGAACAGGTATTTCTCCTAAAAAGATTGACAAACGGCCAAAAAGCCCATGAGAAGATGCTCAAATCCCTCATCACTAGGGACGCAAATCAAAACTCCCGTTAGGGTGCTGCCATCCAAACACAACCATACAAACCAACCAGGAAACAAAGTAACAGGCGTCGGAGAGGACGTGGGAAGAGTGGGACGTGTGAGCGCTGTCGGTGCGAACGTGAAATGTACAACCACCGCGGGAAAGAGAAAGGCAGCCAGTTCCACAAAAAGCTGCCAATAGAACTCCACAGAACCCAGCCAGCCCGCCGGGAGCCTGTCCGAAGGAGCCGGCAGGATCTCGGAGAGAAATGTGCACATCCCTGTTCACGGCAGTGGCGCTCACAACAGCCAGAAACGGAAGCAGCCCGGGTGCCCGCCCACCGAGGAACAGAAGAGCACACTGTGGCGGTCACATACAACAGACCAGGGGTCCGCACACTTTCTAAACGGGGCCAGCTCACTGTCCCTCAGACCGTTGGAGGGCCGGACTATAGTTTAAAAACAAACTATGAAGAAATTCCTATGCACACTGCACAGATCTTATTTTGAAGTAAAAAAACAAAACGGGGACCCCTGCAAAGACTGTTACTCAGCTTAAAAAAGGCACTTCTGCAACAGGCTGCAACACGGCGGCCCTTGAGGCCATGATGTTAACTGAACTAAGCTAGTCACAGACACGCGGTATGATCCCACTCATCTGAGGCATTTACCTAGAATAGTCTTAATCACAGAGAGGAAAGGCGGTAGTCTCCTGCCCCCAGGCCACAGACAGAACAAAGACTGCAGGGCAGTCTACCGCCTGGCAACAGTGACGACCTCTGCCATAAGCCCATATTTTCCAAATTCTCAACGACTGTTTTCACCTTTAGGATGGGGAGGTGTTCAATTAGAAAATTGCAGCCAGTAGGATTTTCCTAACCCACCCAGGCCTGGTGGGGCCCCCAGCTCCCGTGGTCGGAGGAGGATTCTGGGGAGTGGCAGGGGCACTCCCCATGCTCCCTCCCTTCCCCTAGGAACCAGCCAGGGTCCCCGAAGCCCTCCTCCCTCCACTTAGGGGTAGGGTCCTCCACTTAGGGGTAGGGCTGTGACCTGAGGGTGAGACTCGGGCAGGAGCCCAGGGGTGCCGAGCAGAGGAAAGGAAATGCCACAGGGATTTGGGGGGAGCCTGTGGGAGCCTGGACTGGCGCTTCCTTCCCCTGGCCCGCCTGCGGAAGCTCCCCCTTCCTCGCCTGCAAGTGCAATCAGGGCTGTGTGAAACCCCCTAAGCCCACTCCTCGCGGAGCCACAGCACAAGGCAGCAGCCAGAACCACTCAGGCCTACTTTTCACAGCATCTGCTGTCCTGCCCCCTTCCCCCCTGCACGTCCCAGTTAGAAGAGGGGCACCCAGAGGCAGAGGCAGGCAGTCTGGCTGGGGGCAGCTTTTCTCTCCAAGTGTCTTAGGGCAGGGCTTCCTGCTGCCACCCCAGCATCTGCCCAATGGAGCCCACGACACGTGCCCAGCCTTGGCTCACGTTAAGACGGTCTTCTTCCCTTGCACCTCCTGGCCCCGCAGAGGGAACTCAAGAGGCAGAGGTGCTCATGCCCCTGGCTCATGTGGACAGTTCCTGTCCCCTCACACCGTTCCCAGCAAACCTTCTCTCAGGAAGCCCGCACCGTCCCCTCCTGCGAGCCTCTCCTTCCTCCCTCCTCCTGTCTGCCATGCGGAGGCACTGCCAGGCCGTCCTGGGGACGCCATCACCTTTGGAACATTTACCCACGGCCTGTGTACGGACAGGGCCTCGTGCCAGAGGCCTCAGGGGGTGGAGCAAGACACTCACAGCTCAACTTTCCAAAACGGAGCCCAGACCCTGGGCAGTCCACCGCCTGTGCGGGGGGATGGTCAGTGTCTCCCCATGAGCTCATGGTGCCTGTGGGCCTTCCCTTAGCAAAGGCCTCCCAACACCCTTCAGCCTGGAGGGCAGGGGCCCTTGGGTCCCTGAGAGAGGTCTCCCAATTGCCCCTCTGTAGTTGGGGGAGATAGCTACCTCTAGAGGCTACCCTGAAATGACAGGAGTGAAGGACAGCCCTACTGCAACAAATGAATGGGCAACCACCACCAGTACCCACAGGTCCCCTAAACTCTGGGAGCGCATGGCCAGGGGACAGCAGATCTACAGCCGGAACAGCAGAGGAGGGTGAGCTTGTCGCTACTGGGGAGACCAGGGCGGCTCTGCAGGCCGCTAAGCCCAGGGGGAAGAGCCGACGCACAGGAAGGCACAGAAGCAGGAGGGCAAGGAATGGTTCTCAACAGTATCATTTGGCTGCAGCCTAAAGGCCCACCGCAGCCCGCAGTGGCCCCTGAGTGCTGCAGGCCCAGTGCCAAGGGCCCCGTGAGGTGTTTGGTGAGGAAGGAGTGGCACGATGCCCAGGGTCTGCTACTGCTAGGCTGAAAGGAAGAGTGAGTGGGCGGACCCCAAGCCGCACGCGAGGCGGTGGCTGGGGAAGGGGTGGGAGGCTCCAGCGCCTGGCTGGACGTGGGGAGCGGGAGCATGACAATCTCCCACAGGACACGGACAGTGGCTCAGGTAAGAGGGGGGCCACTAGCTTGTGTGCTCTCTGGGCCCTCAGCTGGACAGTGAGGGGGAGATGGCCCGAGGATGCCCTCCCAGTGGGCTTGTGTGACACGCAGGAGGAACAGAGGCCACTCCTGGCAGGGACACGCATCCCCAAGCTCTTGGCTCCCTCTGCTGGCAGCGTCAATGCACACACTCCAGGGACCAGAGGGAATTCTTTGAGTGAATGTTTCCCTGTTTGCTCCTGACTCCGGGGCAGACGGAGCATCAGGTGAGCCATCCCATAAGCGGCTGCCGGAGACCATCTATGCCCCGGCCCCTCCCTGACATCCGGGTCCTGTCTGGGCTGCCCGGGCTTCTGCTTGTCCGAGCCCAGATCCTGCCTCAGAGCTGCTTCGCAGCGAGATCCAGGCAGGAGGCACAGCCTTCACACCCACACGGACAGCACCTGCCTGAGCGGCTCCGCGTGACCGGCACCCCCGCGGCACACACCTCTCCAGCACCAGCCGGTTCACGGCCTCACTGTCCACCGGCGGCAGGCTCAGGGTCTCCTGCAGCATCGTGAGCTTTTTCTTCAGGCTCTTGGAGAAGGAGAGAAAGTGTTAATGAAAGGCTGAGGTGTCAAGTCCAGACAGACGGCAGGCCGAGCGGCGCAGGGCCTGCAGCCCCGCCCCGGGCCCAGACGCCTCCCTGGCAAAGCTCCTTCTCTGGTGCCCTCGGGCTGTCGGTGCCAAACACACTCTGAGGGAAGACCCTGGTGCCATCCGCCAGGCTCCAGGCCAGGCCGAGGTGCACATCCTGACCCACCGGACGCGGGAGAGTGAGGGAGCCCAGAGCCAGCTCCACCGACTGTGCCGGCTCCGGGCAGAGCCAGCCCAGCTCTGCTCTGAGAGGCACACAAACCACCCCATTCCCGCCAGGGGTGCCCCTCACCGCGATTTCCTTGTCGGCGCCCTGCAAATCCTTCTGGGCCGACCTCAGCTCCAGCTTGGCCTGGTCCAGCTCAGAGTAGACCGCCTGCAACTGCAGGCAAGTGGAGGGGGATGAGCCAAGGGTGGCCACGTGCTCTGCCCCACCTGCTGCGGCCCAGGCTGCTCAGGGTAGACCAGGGCCCAGAAGTGTGGGGGCCCCTGGGGAGACCCTAGCTCTATGGGCTGGGCTGCCCCTATGCCCCGAGGGCCATGGATGCACCAGGCCCAGGAGTAAAGCAGCTGTGCTGACCGTATGCTCGGGGCCGTGCAGACCTCGCAGGCAGCACACTGGGACCTGTGCCCTCCCGCCCGCTGAGGGCCGGAGCCGGGAGGAGCAGGAGCGTCAGGCTGCACGCCAGGAGAGCACCTGCGTGACTCGCCGCCCGAACTGGACAAGCCACAGCCTGCGCCGGCGCCGTGAGGACCAGCCCCTGGGCCAGCTGCACCCTCAGGCCCGGGCCTTGCTCAGGAGCCGTGACCGCAGGTGAAGGCAGGACGGCCATCTCCCTCGCCCTCTGCTCCCACACGTACCTTGCTTCTGGAGGAAAACAAGTCCTTCTTGAGCTTGTCAGCCAGCTCCCCGGAGGCCTTCCGAGCCTCTTTCAGGTTCTCATACTCCCTACACAGGGGCCAGAGAAAGAGACTTCGGAACCGGACACCTGCTGGTCGGACTGAGCACTAACCAAACACAAAGCCCAGCCCCACCCTCCCTCCTGCTCTGGCACCTGAGCTCAAGGGGTGGCGTGTGGAGGGTCCTATCCCAACGCCAGGAGAGCGCCAGTCCTCCTCCGGTCCTCACTCAGGAGGCCCCTGCACCATCTGGCCCCCACAGGGGGCACCTGGGGTCCTCGGTGCCTATCAGCCAAGCGGCCCTTCCCCCACCTCCTCCCCACAGTGCTGGCGAGTCTAAGCAGTTTCTGCTGTGAGCCAGGCAGGGTAGTGACAGTGCTGCTGGGACCCAGGTGGCCGAGACCACAAAGGGACTCCACTCACAGAGCCGGGCCAACCTCTTGGAAATAACGCCTATAACCACTCACTTCTCTCAACCCGAGGCCAGTGATTGCTGTCCCCATTCAGTAAGCAGAGGGTCAGAGAGGTTAAGAAACTGGCTCTGGCCACACGGTGAGGTGGGCTCAGAGGGAACGAAGGTGGCCGGCTCCCCCGAGCTGGCCCCTAACTCCACCTGCTCTGCCTGGTAAGGGAGGGCAGCAGGTGGGCAGACATGGCTGGGTGCCATGGCGTAGCACCTGGGCTGGGACAGAGGGACAGGGTACACACTTCTTGAGGGACACGCAGTACACGGCCAGCTGCTCCACCGCTGCCTGGCCCACACCCATGTCTCGGATCATCTCCTCTACCTCAGGCCGCTGGCTCTTGAGTAGGAGCTCGATCCTGAAAAATACCGACCCACGGCATTGAAAATTTGGAGACAGCTCTGCCTCCCTTTGCGGCTGTTGCTATGGTGACAGCCGGGGCTGCTAGGATGCTTTGGCAGGCGGGTCTGCCCAAAGAAAGGCCCACAGCAGAGCTGAGCACAGCCTCGGGGATGCTGCTGGGGAGGAAGGGGTGCTGCCCGAGGTCCTCCAGGCCAGGGATCCCCAGAGAGAGGCTCTTAGAGCAGAAGGCCTGCAGGTCATCTGGCCACAGGCAACAGGACGGGAGAATGTGGCCAGGGCCCCAGGGGAAGTGGAGGAGCCCATAGAGGCCGAGCAGAGACCTGTGCCCACACCCAGCTGGCCCGAGCCTCCCCATAGCCTCTGGAGGTTAGAGCCACAGCAGTGACCCAACTCCTGGGCAGTCCTGTGAGCTGTGCCCCGGGGCCTGGGGCAGGCAGGGCCGGCCGCGCACCGCTCCATGGTCTGCATCTTGCTCCTGAGCCGGCGGGCCTCCTCCCGGGCTTGTTTGGTCTCATCCTGCTGCTGCTCCAAGAATTTCATCTGCTTCTGAGGAGCAAACACACCCCACATGCCTGTCACCTGGAGGATCCGGGGACCATGGCGAACGTCACCGAGGAAACTACCCCAGAACTTCCGGCTTTTGAAAATGCTGAAAACCACGTGTCCCCTAAACCCCTAGCCGGGAGGTAAGGTTGCTGGGCACACACGAGCTTGTGCTTTTCTGCTAAGAGGCCCTCGCCAGCAGCTTCCTTGCCTCCCCGCGCACTTCCTCCTGAGCTATGTCTCATAGGTACAGCCCAGCCAGCACCCACAGGCCTATTGTGGGCTGCCAAACTCCTGTGCTGCGCCTTATGGTGCGTGTTGTGCAGTCCAGGCCTCGCTGTCCACCATCTAGACCCATGGACAGCGGCCAGGATAGCAGCGCGGAGCCAGGGGCGGCTGGCCAGCTGCCCTCGGCCTGAGACCCTCCACCTCTGGGAATGCCATCAAACACCTGCTCTGCAGCCAGGAGCTGCTCTGCAGCCAGGAGCTGCTCTGCCACGTGACCCCGACCAGCCACCAGCAGGAACAGAGACAATGGCCACCCCGGGGCTCTGTCTGTTCACAAGGACGCCTCCCTCCCCCTCCAATGGCACCCCACAAGGACTGCTCCTCGCTGCAAGGCCGGAATGTCAGCTGTGGGCTCAGATCAATCGCCTTCTGCCCCTGGGAGAGCAAGAGGCTCGCCAACCGGCTGATACAAAACTCATCGGGTCGAGAGCGCCGGCTCTGCAGGCTCTGATCTGCCCGGGCAGCGCAGCACAGCGGCTTCAAAGGCCTCGCACCTCGCGGGTGCCGTTTGATCTGGCTCCGGGGGGCGGCCCGCCGAGGGCTAGAGCGCGTGGACGTGTCAGCGGCTCCGTCAGTGGAGTACACGCCGCTCTGGGAACATGGCCCCGCCTCACCAAGGTCCCGGCTCAGCAGCCCCTCCATGAAGTGCTGGGAAACCTCAGCTCTTCAGACTCCCACGCACAACACTCATAAGTGTGGCCAATATGGCCCTTTTCCTGCGGCTGGTGGTACCGTATGGAGGCCTGGGGAGAGGGGGTCGCCTCCATCTTACACCTGCACACACCCAGCTGCGGACCAAGGCAGAGCCGGAAGTTAAGCCTCAAGCGGTGAGCCTGGGCTGGGGCTCCATCCCTCCCCGCCCCCCGCAATGGTGCCCACGGGACCCAGGGCCCACCTTGAGGGTGGAGCACAGCATGTCGGCCTCGTCCAGGGCCCGCTGCAGAGACTCCACGGTGGCGTTGCGCTCCTCCAGCGTGTCCCGCAGGGTGTCGATGATGCCCTGGCTGTCCCGCTTCTCCCTCTCTGGAGCAGGGGAGGACAGCCACCTATCAGCGTGAGAACCTGGGCTGCTGGGAGCCAGCACCCCACCCCGGGGAGGAATAAGTCCCAGGCCAGAGGCTGGGTGGCCACGTTAGGGAAGCCGGCTGGAGTCCTCGAGCAGAGACGTCACCGCTCCCTCGCCCATGCGTCCAGTAACTTCATTGTCCCAGAAGCCAGGCAGGCTCCTGCCAAACTCCTGGCCGAAGCCTCTCCTACAGACGCTCTGGTGCATCAGGCGGCCCCTCCCGGCTCAGGCTACCTGGTCCAGGGGCAGTTTCAGGCCCTCCCTCTCCTCTCCTTTTCTGCCAGTCACAAGAGCTGGCCAGACTCAGGGACACACCAGCAGGGAGAACCCCTGGCCTCTCCCACCAGCACCCAAGTCAGAGGCTGCCATGGCCCCGTGCCGCTTGCTGACTCACCTTTCTGGGAAAGCTGGGCTCTGACATTATCCAGTTCATTCTGCAAGGCAACAGGCACAATAAGCAGCAGCCAGGCATCACAGCTGCCTCCCACCAGGCTGTGGGTCCCCGGGAGCCTGGCTCTAGCTCCATGCCTTTTTGAGCAGCAGCTAAGATGGGGGAAATACTCTCAGGTACAGGACCCCAGTGCAGGGAAAGGAGAAGAGGAGAGACGCAGGGTCTGTGTGGTCAGCCCTACAGCCCTGTGCTGGCCCTGACCCTCTCTGGGCGTCAGCTGCGCTCACTGGGAACAAAGTTGGCATCGCCAAGGACCTTGGCCACCACTCCTTCCCTCCACCCTGGGGTCCTGCCTGCTTCACAGCCGGCTCTGTGCACCACCATCTTCCAGCCCCAGGATCAATATGGTTGGTGAGCCAGGACAGCTGTGAGGCCCTGGATGGAACCCCACACGTGCGAGGTTCTAACGAGACTGTCCGAGCCTCTGGGAGCCTGTGTGTACATTCCAGAGGCCCTGCTGCAGACCCGCTGAGAGGCTGGGGCAGCACTGTGCCCAGCTCCCACTCAGGAGGCCAGAGCATTCAACACCCTTGTGGGCAAGAGAGGTGCCTACTCCATAAGCAGGAACACCAACAGGCTTGGCCAAGGGTCCATGGTGGTAGGTGGATGGAATCCCGGCAAATCCTCCTCCAGATCTACACAAGACTCAGACTCTCACCTGGGACTAATACTAAGGCCCAGCCCCAGTCGGTGGATAAGCCCCATGTGGGCTGGGCTGGGCTGGGCAGTGTAGGCTGAACACCTGGAGGCGCGAGTGGTGGGCTGAAAAGGATGTGCCTGGGCTGCCTGAGAAGAAAAGCCACCTCTAGTCCCCTGGCTCCTGCCACACCCGAGCAGGATGCCTTCCAAGCCCTTGTTCCCAACTACTCAAGATGCTGCCTCCTGTCTCCTAGTTCTGGCTTTGAAAGCCGGAGAGACATGAAGCTGCCTTTGTTGCATGCATCACGGGGAGAACACAGCTTAAAACTGGGAGCAGTTACCATGACGATGAGCATGCTGGCTTTCAGCACAAAAGCTCCCCGTTCTTGAATCAGTGAGGTTCCAAGGACACCATGGTACCCTGGAGCCAAGGCCAAATGAGCCCTGATCTGACAGATGCCAGAAAATTAACCCTCAGAGTCCCCGATCATGGCAAACTCTAATGCCACTTCCTCAAGAGGCTTCTTATGCACAAACAAAGCTGAATCTTAGACCTGGAGGAAAAGCAGTAGGAGTGCAGGAGGGAACCCGCCCTCCCTCGTCTGCAGTGTGGGTTTCTGCCTTGGCTGCAAATCCGGATTCCAGGGCTCTGCCCTCTATTCCTGCCTGGGGAAGACACGGGCACTGGAATACGCTGAGCCCCCGGCAGGTTCGGGCACAGCCAGGTTTGTGAGCACACATCTCCCTGGCTGCGGGCTAGGGGTTTCCTCTTCTGCCCCTGGCTGTCCACGCAGCAAAGTGGGCTGGGAGGATGGTTGTAGGCCCTTTGCAAGAAGGGCCCACACATCTCCCTGGCTGCGGGCTAGGGGTTTCCTCTTCTGCCCCTGGCTGTCCACGCAGCAAAGTGGGCTGGGAGGATGGTTGTAGGCCCTTTGCAAGGCGAGGGGACCTTGGGAGGGCACCCCGACACTGGGTCGCAATTGCTCTAAAACCCCAAAGGGAGAGCTCAACAGTGTGTTTCTCCAACGACTCATCTTCACCTGTCCTCTGTCTCCCCTCCACGCGCTAGGTACTCGCCCTGGTGGGAGCAGAAAGAACTCCCAGAGAGCGTGGAGCTCAGTAGGAAGAGAAGTTCCGGTACCTTTAAGAATTCTGCATCTAAGACCCCCTCTTCCTCCTGGGCCAGGTCAAAGAAGAGCTTATTGATGATGGATCTTCGGCCGACCTGGAGGGGCGAGTAAGGGAGAATGTGAGCGCACCGCGGGGTCGGGGCCAGGCCTGCTCTGGGGCCCCACATTTCACACCGCATCCCTGGGAGTCAGGAGACTCTCGCCCTGCAGCGCCCCGAGCTGGCGCCACGGGCCTGGTGGTTCCTGAGGTCATGTCTCTGGAACCCATATGGTAACTACTCAAAAGACACCCCAACTCTAGGTACTGGGCATTGAGAAACTCAGGAAAGGCAGAGAAGGGGCCCAAATCTACCAGGTGAAGACTGACCCAGGCAGGGAGTGCATCTGCCAGCTACCCGTGGGCATACGCAGGCCTCCCGAGCCACAAATCATGAGGGTCCAAAAGGACCAACGATACCAGCCTCAGAGACCGCCCCTCGTTCCTGCTTCCTGGCCGGGAGAAGAGGCCTTAAGCTGAGGGATTCTCCCTCCCCCGTCACCTGGACTCGGCACTGTGGGCAGGTGCGACTTGGTGCTGTATCGAACCACTGGATTAGGCTGGAATGAGAAGCAGAAAAACAGACTGGCGAGCCATGGCTGGCTGGAGACATACAGGCCAGGTTGCCACCCTGTCCACAAAAGGGTCTGTCCTGCTCCTCCTGGACCCGGTAGAGAATTGTCCTGGCCAGGTGGCTCAGGTGGTGGGAGCATACAACAAAAAAGGCTGCGGGTTCAATTCCCAGGCAGGGTGTGTATGGGAGGCAACTGATCACTTTAATTTCCCAAAGCTAATTAAAGAAATAATTCCACAGCCCTGACTGGTTTGGCTCAGTGGATAGAGCGTCAGCCTGCGGACAGAAGGGTCCCAGGTTCGATTCTGGTCAAGGGCATGTACCTTGGTTGCCGACACATCCCCAGTGGGGGGCGTGCAAGAGGCAGCTGGTGGATGTTTCTCTCTCATCAATGTTTGTAGCTCTCTATCCCTCTCCCTTCCTCTCTGTGAAAAATCAATAAAATATTAAAAAAAAAAAAAAAGCAAAACCAAACCAGAAAATAACCAGTGTTGGCAAGGACATGGAGAAATCGGAACCCTTGTGCAGTCACTGTGGAAAACCGTAAGGCAATTTCTCAAAAAATTAAATATAGAATTACCATAAAACCCAGCAATTCCACCTCTGGGCAGACCAAAAAGAAATGAAAGCAGGGACTCGAGCAGACACTTGTTTACCAACATTTATAGTAGCACAGCTCATAGCAGCCAAAACATAGAAACAAACCAAGGTCCATTAACAGATGAAGGATTAACAAAATGTGGTATTTCCATACAACTGAATATTATCTATATATATAAAAGCCCAGCAACTGGAAAGGCAGAATGACCAGATTGACCAGTGGCTATGATGCGCACTGCAGCAGCCAACCAGCCTGATCCGGGCCCTGATTGGCCCCCCACACCCTGATCGGGGGGCGGTGCTGACTGGCCAACTGCCTGCAGCCCCTTCCCCCTGGACTCCCCCCTCCTGGCCCGGCCCAATGGGGCACCACTGGGGCAGGCCAGCCGGACCCCACTTGTGCACAAATTCATGCACTAGGCCTCTAGTTCAGTCATAAAAAGGAGTGAAATTCTGATACATGCTATAATATGGATGAACCTTGAAAACATGATGCTTAGTGCAATAATCCAGACTCAAAAGAACAAACATTGTATGATTCTACTTATATGAGGCACCTAGACTAGGGAAACTCCAGGAGACAGAGGTAAAATGGAGCTTTCCAGGGGGGTGGGGAGGGGGATGGAGTTATTGTTTAATGGGTGGTGGGTTGTTGTTTTTAGCCTGGAATGATGGCAAAGCTCTAGAAATAGGCAGTGGCGATGGTTACACCGAATTATTAATGTACTTCATGCCACTGACTTGTACACTTAAAAATGGTTAAAACGAACGGCATCTTTCAGCTCACCAAGTGAACACCATGGGCAAGGCTCCCCCTCCCAAGCTGGAAAAACGATGGACAAAAGGTATTGAAATTAGGTGGTGGCAGACACGCCCAAGGAATCCTGCCAGAATCCGATCCCTTTAGGAACCTGGTGGCAGATCATGTATGGATAGATAATGGCAACTAGCAGGTGACAGAACAAGATTAAAATGGAGGAAATACTACCCTCTCAGAAGCCTTAGAAAGAGCAGAAACCATGGCTGTGTTCACCAGAGAAATCAATTGCTTCCTCATGTCCCCTCTGCAAAGGATCTAGTTTAAAATCGGGTCATGTACTTTTCCATCCTGAATTTGTTGTTGTTGTAAAATAAACTGTGTAACATTCCAAAAATGGCTAAATGGTAAATTTTATGTTATATACTTTTATTACAATGAAAAGGTATGTAGTAATAAAAATAAAAAAAAGGAAAGAAATGGTTGTGCTGGTGAATTCTGCTCTGTGTATTTCACCACAAGAAATAAGGCCACAGGGGCCCTGCACCAGCCTGCCCACAGCTGCCGGGCATCGGGCATCGCTCCCACCAGCTGTGCTCAGTGAGGGTCCCACGGGCACAGGGCGGTCCCGCGGGCGCAGGGCGAGCAGTGCCACCGCTTATCGGGCCGCACCTCCTCGCCCTGCGACGTTAACTGGGTCCTGCCGGTCGGTGAACACACCGGGTGTCTGACCAGAGAGCGGCCTCTGCACACACTCCACCCGCCAAGCAAACCACACAGACCGGCGGCCAGGGGCCCACCAGGCGTCCGTCCCCAGGAGGCCGAAGGGCTCGCCAACGTGGCGAACGGTCACCTCCCCCCGGGCTGAGGGTTTTGAAGTCGCCTCGCTTCGCCGCCAAGCCCGTCGTGCAAGCCCGTGCTCTGTCTTCCCTGAACGGACTCTGTGCCCCCGCGTCCAGCTCGGCTATCACTTCCTTCCTGACCCGCCTCCGCCCAGGTCGGGACCTCCCGTGGGGCGCCCGTCCGGGCGGCGGGGGCCCGACAACCACTCTCCTGTCGGGAGGACGGCAGAAAGCGTCCAGCCCCACAGCTGTCACTCACCACTGCAGGTGGAAGGTGTGGCCGCAGTGGATGGCGGCCACGTCGCGCGAGTGGTCGAAGAAGTCGGAGCAGATGGTGCAGAGCGCGCGGATGGGCATGGTCACCGGACTCCAGGGCCCGGGTCGCCAAGGAAACCGTGGCAGACCTCGGCCGCGCCTCCGCGTCTCAGCTCCCTTCAAATTTGGCTCCTTGGCGCGACTTCCGGGGTAGGACCGGAAGTAGCTACGCGAAACGTGGAGGCCGAGCCTAAAGGCTGAGTCCGGATTGGACGAACCCTGGGGGGGCGGGGTTTAGCAACCCTGCGGGCGAATAGAATCCCGGGGCGGAGCGCGGGCCGGAACCTGCCCGCGGGAGCGCGGCGGCGGCTCTCGGAAAGGTAATTGTACCGCAGAGCTCAGCGCGGGAGCGGGAGCAGGACCGGGAGCAGCTTTCCGGCAAATCAGAGCTGCTGCGCGGGGCGCGGGCTCCCCGGCCTGGTCTGTCATGGCAGCCTCCCCTGAACCTCGGGGGAGTCAGGACCGCGGCCCCGGGGGATGGGACGACAGTCCCCGTGGAGAGCGGGCCCGCCGCCCTCCGGGCAGTGATGGCCCGCGCGCTGGAAGCCCACAGTTCCCACAGACCCAAAGGACGCCCCGCCCTCCCGGCCTTTGGCCCTAGAGTCGTCCTAGAAAGATGGACACAGGCCCTCACCCCGCATGACGGACGGCCCCCAGGTTTGCAGGCCCAGGGCCAGCATCCTGACGGCTGCTCCTCGCGCCCGGAGGATCGGTTATGCCCCTGACCTGTCGGTAGTCGCGTTGGAATTTTGGAGGCCCGGATGCTCCATGGACCAGTGACTCACACACCCCATTTTCTTCCTCCCACATCACATCAGTTACCTTTGGGTCTTCCCTGCGGGTCAGCGGCCTCCCCGGTGAGCCCCCCTGGACGGCAGGGGATGGAACAGGTCTTCCCAGGAGTTGTCACTCAACTGATTTCAGCAGCGTTACCCCGCCCCGCCCTGCCCCATGCGGAGCCGCAGGATGCACAGCTGGCTCATCCGCCGGAAAGGAGACTCGGAACCTTCTGGGCCCAATGGGAAGCTCGGGTGTTGCTCTCAGGAAAAAGGACCTGCACGAAGGCAGCTAGAACCCTTGTGCGCTGCCCACCCTGGGACCTCTCCCCAGCCCAGGGAAGCCCACCTTGGCTACAGGCAGGGTCTCTGTCCATGGTGGTCGGCTTTTGGTGGGTTCCAGTTCTATGCCTAAGTTAAAACAAGGACTCCTTTGTGGGGGTATTTGTGGTTGTGTTAATCCTCACCTGAGGATATTTTTCCCATTGGTTTTTAGAGAGAGTGGAAGAGAGGGGGAAAAACAGAGAGAAACATCCATGTGGGAGAAACATTTCGATTGGTTACCTCCTGCATGCGCCCTGACCAGGGCCCAGGCTGGGGAGGTGCCTGCAACCAAGGTACATGCCCTTGACCCGAATCAAACCCAGGACCCTTCGGTCCACAGGCTGACGCTCCATGCACTGAGCCACACCAACTAGGGCAAACCAGGGACTCCCTGTTACATAGGAGGTGTCATGACAGCAGCCCAGAGGGTATTCCTTGGCACAATTCCAACCCAAGACCCACCATCCACGTGGGTTACAGTCCAAAGGAACCCGTCACCGCCATCAAGGGACACACCGGTGAGGGTGATGCACTCTCGGCCAAGCAAGCCCCGTGGCCCCCAGCACAGGCTGCTACCTGTGCACCTGCTTCCAGCCTCCCCCCTCCCCCCTGCCTGCCAGGGGGGCCCCTCCCCAGTAAGACAGAGGAAGCAGAGGTGAGAGGGTGGCCAGAGGCGTTGGCAGGGTGACATTTATTTGCCAGGTTCAGCGGGCACAGTTCGCCCACTGATCTTCATACACCAGAGCAGACCCACAGGCATGCAGGGAGAAGGGCAGGGCCGCCACCAGAGTGCCGAGCGGGCCGGGACCAGTGCGGCTGCCTGCCCAGGCCGTGGTGGGGTCTGACAAGTGCACCTACCAGGAGCCTCCATCAGGAAACTGGGGAGCCTCGTCCCACCTCCTCATCCCGGCAAAGGAACTCGGCACGACTCAGAGGCACCTGGGCCTCTCTCAGCCCCCATAGGAGGGGGAGCGGTCAGACATCACGGGGACTCCTCTCTTTTTCGTGGTTGAAGTGGGACACTGCCATGCAGCAGGCCCCCGGGATGGAGAGGACCGACAACTGATCCAGAGGGTGGCCGTCTGGGAAGAGCTAGGGATATCAGCCCTTCCCGTCTGGCTCACGGCAAGGACCCAGCTAGGCTGGTGCACGAGTGCTGGGCCTGCGCTCTGTCCTCCCGGTTCTCATTGCCACATCCTCGCTGCTCCTTCCCCACTCAGGCTCCTGGACTCGGCACACGGCAACCCACTGCAGGACCCAGGGGGCAGGGAGGGTCTCGGGAGGGGCTTCCCAGGGACAAAGATGGAAGCTTCTACCCTCCTCACTCCTTTTCACTTCTGAGGACCCCACAGCTACCGAGCAGTGCCCCCAGCCACACACCCAGTCTTGTCCTAAAGCATACTGCTCTAGATTTCCGCATTCCCTGGACCGGCCTGTGTCCACTCCTAGAGTCGCCCAGTACCACAGGCACATACCTCCGTGTGTAGAAGCCTAAGACCACTGACAGGGCCTCGCTGGAGGACCAGCTCTCAGGGCAAGGCCACCCAAGTTTAGGGCCTGGGAGGGAATGGGACTGCAGGGCCTGCCTGGGGGGATGGGGGGTTGAGGCAGAAGGGAAGAGGCGCAGGGACCTCCTGAGTATCCCTAGAGCAGCATCCCACAGGAACAAAACTGGTGAAGCTAGCGAAAGACAAAAGCCACAGGAATCCATGCAGGGGCTGGGGCCGGTCCTGCCTCTGGCTTGCTCCCCACTCACACATACACACGGGAGACGAGACTGCTCCCCGTGGCCCCCAGACGAGCCCCACAGTGAGAGGCAGGGGCTGGGGAGGGGTGCGAGGGCATCATGCCAGTGACTCTATGTACAGTGAAAAGCCCCTCATCCACTCTCCCACCCTCCTGTCCGTCCCTGCCCCCCACTAGCCTGCCCACTCAGCTGGTCTCCCTCCGGGACTCAGCAGAGCCAGCAGCCTCTTCCCCTTCGCTAGGGGGCGGAGCCTGGCCTGCTGCGCCCCCTGAGGCTGTGCTGTCCGGCTGGGCCGAAGCTGGCTCAGGGGTGGCACTGCTTTGGCTGGTGGGCACAGTGCTCTCCTCCGTGGCTGGCGTGGCTCTCCCATCCGTGGCTGGCGTGGCTCTCCCATCCGTGGCTGGCGTGGCACTCCTGTCAGTGGCTGGGGTGACGCTCCCATCGGTGGCTGGGGTGACACTCCCATCGGTGGCTGGGGTGATGCTCCCATCGGTGGCTGGGGTGATACTCCCATCGGTGGCTGGGGTGGCACTGCGGTCTGCAGGGACTGCACTATCACTCTTTGCAGCGTCACCTGCTGTGGCTGAGGTGGCACTGCCCCCAAGGGCCGGGGCAACCCCACCTGCAGCCCCAGGCGCGGCAGTGTCTGTGGCTGGAGCCGACTGGGTGGCTGCGGCGCTGGACTGCTCTGGCGCCCGCAGCCGCTTCATGAGCGTGGTCACTCGGACAGCTTTCTGCAAGGAGGAGAGAGAGAGGCTCAGGGCGGCTTACGGAAGCTGCGTCCACTCCCTGGCGAAGGCCAAGCCCAGGCCACCCCCAGGGTACCCGGCTGCCTCTGGTCACCCCAGGGCTAGGCACCCAGCCACTTGGAGTCAGTCCACGGAGAAGCCACCCAGGCCTTACCTTCCACTTGGCCCTGGCAAAGTTCTTCTCAATCTGGGCACAGACACCATCCTTGATGTTCTTATCGGAAGCGGCATTGCCAGAAATCCTGGAAAGGGCGCGAATGCATCTGAGCTGTGGCCTTCACACTGCCCAGCCTTGTAAGACCCAGGGGTCACCAGGCGGGCCTTCTGGCTGCCCCCAACCCCCACTCAGGGTCTCAGGGATGGGGGTTGCTAGGTGTGAGGAGGACAGAAGCCCCGGCCCCTTCCATCCTCCCTGGACCCCGCTCACCACTCGTGGGAGATGGCCTCTTCCGCGGTGATGCGCTGGTCCTGCTCCACCTCCATCAGCCTGGTGACCAGGTCTTTGGCTGGGGACAAAGCAGGGAGAAGCTAGGCATGGCGCCCCGTCTCTAACTCGAGGGGCCGGGGCAGGAGCAGAGCCCAGAGAGGAGGCCGAGAGCAGGTCCCCCGCACCAGGCCTTCCTTCTGCTCAGATGGTGGGCGCCTCCTCACCCGCCTGCGAGATGTCGTCCCAGTACGGAGAGTCAAACTCATAGTCGCCAGCCAGGATCTTGCGGAAGAGATTCTTGTCGTGGTTCTCGTAGTCGTCCTCCTCCACCTCCTCGTAGAAAGGCGGGTTCCCTGAAAGCCTGCGGGGGCCAGAGGCCCAGATCAGCCAGGAAGGCCCTGGCACAGGCCCCACCCCCTGGCTGTACGCCCCTCTGTTGGCCCGTCCACTCACAGGATGTACATGATGACGCCAATGGCCCAGCAGTCCACGGGGCGTCCATACCGCTGCCGGCCTACCACCTCCGGGGCTGCCAACACAGTTCCAACCGGCCAGTCAGGATCAGGCCTGCCAGGCCCGGTACCGTTCACACCCCTTCCTGGGGACCTCCTTCCTCCCGACCCAGAGCCACTCCCACCCGCCCCTGCCCCTGCCCTGCCCCCTCTGCTTGCCCAGGTACTCGGGGGTCCCGCAGGGCTCCTTGATGAGGCCGTTCTCCAGCTTAGCCAGGTGGAAGTCGCTGATGACAATCTTGGAGTTCTTCAGCCTGTTGTAATACACCAGGTTCTCCAGCTGCTCCGGCAGGAATAGCATGGGGGTGGCAGAGAAAGACTCGTGAGGAGCGGGCCTCAGAGGCTGGCCCGGCGTCCCAGGCCAGCTGCCAACCGGCCCTTCGACCAGGCTCCTGCCTCACCTTGAGGTTCCTGTGCACGATCTTGAGCGAGTGCAGGTAGGCCACGGCCTCCAGGACCTGCCGCACCACGTTGCTCGTGTCTCGTTCCGAGTAGTAGCCCTGGTCCAGGATCCAGTCAAACACCTCCCTCCCCGTGGCCCTGAGGGACACCAGCCCCTGAGCCCGGCGTGGGCAGGACCGGGGGTGGGGCAGGAGCACTTGGGCAGGCTATCTACACCGGGTAGCTGGCTGGGCAAGGCACAGAGACCGGGACCGAGGGTCCGAGAAGGGGCGCTCCCTGGCGGCGGAGCGTGGGAGAACCCTGGGACCCCAGGCCCACACTCACAGCTCCAGGAAGATGAAGTACTCCTTGCGGGTCACAAACACATCCACCAGCTGCAAGATGTTGGGGTGTTTCACCCTGGCAGCGAGAGAACCAATCGTCAGGGCTGAGTGAGCCCCTAAGAGAGGCTCTGGGTGCCACTGTGGCCGCAGCAGACTAACTGGCCAGAGGCCGCACTGCTTGAGGCCCTTGCCCGCCAGCCCCTGCCCTGCTGGCTCCCACCCCAGGCCTCACTCACATCTTGAGGATGCCGATCTCGTTCTTGGCCGCCTTCCGCACCTTGCGGCCGTCCCGCTTCTGGAACTTCTTGCAGGTGTGCAGCTTGCCCGTGGTCTTGTCCTTGGCCCGGAAGATCTCGCAGAACTCCTCCCTGCAGCAGGGGCCACCCCACTCAGCCCCGGCCTCGGCCTCGCTGCAGGCTGCACCCCACTCCCCTCCCCCCGACCCTTGCCCGCCAGCACGGCACTCACGTTTTGATGACCTGTCCCAGATCATATCTGTCCGTCACCTCTGACGGCTGGTTATAGTTCTTCTTGTCGCCCAGAGTCACACACCCAAACGGCATTGCCAGGCTCTGAGCTGCGGGCAGGATGAGGTCTGTCTCAGCTGTGCCGCTCGCTCCCTACATCTCCCCGCAGCACCCAGGTCGCCGCTGGGAGACCCCAGCTGGCTCAGGCCACG